CTTTGCGTTTGTGAGCAGGACTTTACGTGAAGGGATGACACACATGCACGCCACGTTTTTTATTTAAAATAGTTAAATTTATCAATGTCCTGGGTCACAAAAGCAACGTTTGTGAGATTTTATTTAAATTTATTTTTAATTTATTTTAGTTTTATTTATTTCTACCTACGTGACTTTACTGAAAAAAACCTCCGAGTATGAATCCTTGCAGTCACGAAAGCTTCAAATTTAGAATTTGTTGAGATTAACAATAGCCACTTTCTCTACTTTTGAGACATAAGCTATTAGATAATAAAACTGTACTACTAAGGGACAATGTTGTTGTGACACTGTTATTAATGGAGTGGATTATTCACTTCGCTTTTGTGTCCTGGGTCACACAAGCAACGTTTGTGTGGAGTATTAAGAGCCCACTTTCTCTACTTTTGAGGCACTAGCTATTAGGTAATAACACTTTACTACACAGGGACAACAATAAAACATGTTTTTGTTACACACTGAATTATCTACTTAATCGAGGAAATCTCTAAAGCTTTCGTGACTGCAGGGACTTGTCTTCTTGGTTCTTTCGGTAAAGTCGCGTAGAAGGGCTCGTTTTTTGTCTGAAATCCTACGGCCTTTCACTGGAAAAAACACCTCTGCGGTACTAAACTCTACTGATCTGGTATCGACAATCAAGGGGATTTCCCTGTCCCCAGACGACCTGCTTGTCAGTTTGGATGTGGTTTCCTTATTCACCAAAGTTCCTGTACCTGACACCATCGCAATCATTGAAGACTTGATTCATCAAGGACTGAATGCTGGGGTACCCCCCCCCCCCTGGTGAGACACTGCTTAACCAATACATACTTCACCTGGAATGGAACTTTCTACAAACAAACTGAGGGTACCCCAATGGGCTCCCCCTATCTCCGGTTGTAGCCAACGTTTTCATGAAGAAATTTGAGACTGACGCCATCCAGACTGCCACTCTATGCCCGACCTTGTGGAAGAGGTACGTAGATGACACTTTTGTCATTTGGCCACATGGCCGGCCTGCTCTAGACCAATTCCTCGACCACATCAATTCCATACACCCAGCCATCAGATTCACCATGGAAGTCGAAAAAGATGGCAAGCTACCCTTTTTGGATGTCCTAATTAAAAGGAGACCTGATGGTTCAATGAGCCATTCTGTCTACAGGAAAGCCACCCACACGGATGCTTGCCTAAAACCGGATTCCCACCACCATCCATCCCAGAAAAACTCCCTCGTCAAGACTCTATACCAGGGGTCCTCAAACTTTTTAAACAGGGGGCCAGTTCACTGTCCCTCAGACCGTTGGAGGGCCGGACTATAGTTAAAAAAACAACTATTAACAAATTCCTATGCACACTGCATATATCTTATTTTGAAGTGAAGAAACAAAACGGGAACATACAATATTTAAAATGAAGAACAAGTAAAGTTAAATCAACAAACTTGCCAGTATTTCAATGGGAACTATGGGCCTGCTTTTGGCTAATGAGATGGTCAATGTCCGGTTCCATATTTGTCACTGCTAGTCGTAACAAGTGATGCAAGTGTGCATCCGTTAGTCTAGATCTGGTTGGAGATTTCAAATGTTTCATTCTGGAAAAAGTGTGTTCACAGACATAAGCGCTGCCAAAGATGGTTGCCATTTTGAGTGCATGGTTCCTGAGATGAGGATATGTCTCAGAGGGGAGAGATGCATAGAAATTATGAAGGCTGCTTGACTTGAATGCGTCTTTCAGAGAGTCACAATTCTGCAGTTCAGCGAGTTCCATTTGGTAATTGTATCCACATTTTCAATGTCAATAGAAAATGGGTTATGGAAAAGCTGTATGTCCTGTTCATGGAGATGAAGCTCTTTAAATCTAAATTGGAACTCCTTTTGCAATTTTTCCAGTGAATCCACACATGTTTTGTTTGGGAATGCAACCAATGTTTTTTCCGCTAACAGATTTTGAGTTGTGGGGAGATGGCAGAAGTTTTCCTCCTTCACTTGTTTGATGAGGAGGCCTAATTTTACTTCAAATGCTTTGACATGTGATTACATATCACAGATGAGCTTCCCCTTTCCTTGAAGTTGCACATTGAAACTGTTGAGTAGCTCTGTTACATCTGTCAGAAAGGCAAGGTGCCATTTCCATTCTGCATCATTGAGCTCTGGTACTTTTTTGTTTTTTGAAAACAGAAAAGCTGTAATCTGTGGAAGTAAGTCCTAGAAACGTTTCAAAACTCTCCCTCGACTCAGCCAACGGACTTCTGTGTGACAGAACATCTTCATAGTCAACATTTAGCTCGGACAGAAATTCCTGAAATTGTCTGTGGTTTAGTGCATGATCTCTAATGAAGTTAACAGTCCCACTTCAGTGATTTACTACACAGCGCTTGTTGGTGGATGAGGCAGTGTATGGCTATTGGATGAGAATGGTTATGTTTGTCCATCTCTTGGTTAATGCGAGCAATTACTCCTTTCTTAGACCCCACCATGCTAGGAGCACAATCAGTTGTCACACTGGCTAGTTTAGCCCAGTTCAGCTCCAAACCATTCACAGTTTGGCAAACCTTTTCATAGATATCCTCTCTTGTAGTTGTTCCTTTGGTGCTTTGCAGTGCAGCAAGCTCTTCTGTGACTTCGAAATAGTCATTCGTCCCACAAATAAAAATTAGAAGTTGTGCAGAATCACGAACATCGTTGCTTTCGTCGAGTGCCAAGGAAAAATAGGAAAGTTTTTTTTGTGGAGTTTTGCAAATGCTGATGGAAATTGTCTCCCATTTCTTCAATCCTCCGTGTAATTGTAGGTCCTAAAAGACTCACTGTACTAAATAAATCGGCCTTCTCTGGACACATCTCTTTGGCAACAGAAAGAAGGCATTCTTTAACAAATTCTCCCTCAACGAATGGTCTGCCAGTGCACACTATTAGCTTGGCAACTTGAAAACTTGCTTTCAGTGATGAAATATTTAGCTGCTTCTGCTTCACAAAAGTATTTTGCGGAGTTAATGTATTTTCAGTTTTAATATTTTATCTTTTCTCACTTCTCCGACCAAACAATCATATTTATCTTTATGTTGAGTTTCATAGTGTCGACATAAATTGTATTCTTTGAACACAGACACTATATTCTGGCATATCAGACACACAGCTCTTTCCTTGTACTGCATGAAAAAGTAATCATAAGTCCACTGTTTTTTGAATATCCTACACTCCGAGTCAATTTTTCTCTTTCTTGACATCATTGTTTCCTAGGGAGTCAAAATTGCTATTAGTAAAATACCAATATATATACAGCGCTACAAAAACAATATAGCAGCAATAACTTTGCCCACACAGAGACATACAGACTGCACTGCCCATCAATGCAGTCTGATTGGGGGAACTCCACTTTTACCCCAGGCTCACACTGGTGTGGGTGCCATTAAAAAGTTAATTACACCTGCAGTTTTGTTCACAGATCGCAGTGCGATCTGCGAACTCGCATAGGAATATGATCGCATGGGGGAGAAGACCCATGCGATCCACTGCAGGAAAAAAGGCACATGTGCCTTTTTTTCTTCCGAATCTAATGCAAGTTCAGCCATACAAGCATATGGCTGAACTCGCCACTGCCCAGAGATCGCAACAGTATGAACCGGGGCTTACACAACATACAACATATAACCTCATATAATTGAATAGCAATCAGAATATAAATGCACTTACTGTCATTTAAATTGGGTTTCCTACTCCTCGGCTGTCTGTCACTGACTAGCACGGGAAAACAGCAGGCAGCCCCTCCAGAGATCAATCTGTTATTACCCCTCTATCATTTACTCAGCACACAGGAATATCACTGAGAGTGGAGCCGAGGGGGCAAGTGAGGGAGCTGAGGGAGGGAGAGCCAGTCAAGCGCAGCCAGGGGAGGGCTGGCAGCCTTAGGCCTGGCGGGCAAATCCAGTCAATTGGCCCATTGAACCATTCACCAGCGCAGCCCAATGAGTGCCCACCGCCGCAGCTCAATCAGTGCCCACCGCCTCAGCTCAATCAGTGATCACCAGCGCAGCCAAATCAGTGCCCACCGCCGCAGCTCAATCAGTGCTCGCCACCGCAGCCCAATCAGTGCCCACCACCGCAGCCCAATGAGTGCTCACCAGCGCAGCCAAATTAGTGCTCACAAGCGCAGCCCAATTAGTGACCATGGGCCGGAATAAATGTCCTCGGCGGGCCGCATGTGGCCCGCGGGCCGTAGTTTGAGGACCCCTGGTTTAGACGGTACGGGAGGTCACGGTTTAAATTCTCAACATCCACCAAAACCAAGAATGGGCCAACATCCCACCCGAGTGGGGCGCGTGAAGCGCGAGGCGAGACCTGCGCTAGAAGCTGGTGCAGCAGCTCGATGCTGCCGGCGTGTGAGATGCCGACACGTGCAACCTTGGCCAAGGTCCCTTCTACATCCGCGCGTTAGCAAGTGAAGGTGCAACAGGGTGCAACACAATCACGCACGAGGCACTTGGTGTCTTTGGGCTTTATTTACGTTCCAATAAGAGATAAAGATACAGCGAGGTCCACAAAGTGCTGCAACGAACGCTTCGCAGCTGCTAAGGCCGCTTTGAGCTCAACGGCAAAAAGACCGAGTTTATCAGCGATGCAAAGTAAGCAACAACACCCCTTGTTTAAGGGACATTCAAAAAAGGTTACTAAATGTAACTTTTGCACTATTGACAGGAACAACTTTGTTCAAAAAGTTACTCGCGCTAAATCTTACAAAAACCCTGGGTAATTACGTAACAACTTTTGGTGCCTACATTTTCCATGTTTTATATGAAAAAATTAAAAAAATCAAAGTGAAAATCGCCATGGAACAGCATTAATGGCAGTATTTGCCACATTGAAGCATCATTTGTGCAGAAATGTCTATTGAGGTACAACTTACCATTCCCATCAACTCAAACCTTGGCAGTCAAATATTCAGAGGCATTACGTTGCAAACGAGGTCACGGTGCATAATACCACTCAATGGCAAAGAGGCTCAACTGTGCCGGTCGCCAGAGGCTTTCGTCCAATATCAAAACAAAGTAACTTTCGGTTTAAAGTCTTTAAACGAGATGCAAATGGAGACCGCTCGGCCAACGAGTTCTTCAGGGTTTCCAGCCTCGCCAGCAGCTCCCGACGTCGAATCTGCTCGCGCCGCTTCTCCGCCTTGAGTCTCTCCTCCTCGCGCTTCAGGGTGCGCGAATATTCTATCGCGCGCTTCAGGATCTGCGCCTTGGCCGCCTTCTCGTCGTGCGCCAGCTCCGGTATGCCGCCGCGCAGCCACTGGAAACCCTTCTTGATGGAGTCGCGCCGCCGACGCTCCTGGTCGTTGTGCCGCTCGCCAAGCCCCTCCGAGCCGCCGGAGCTCCGAGGGCCACCGCCGCTCCCCGTCGAGACGGCGCGGGACGAGCCGGCCCCGCCGGCGGCGCCCCGGCTCCGCGCGGATCCCCGCGGCGCCGGCGGGGGCGGCGTCTTCGCCCCGCGCGCAGGCGGCGAGGGGGCGGCGTAGTTGTGCTGCTGCTGGTGCACGGGCGGCGTGGACGCCGGCGGGGCGAGTCGCCGCCGCTGCTGCCGCCGCTGCCGCCGGTTGTTGTCGTTGTACCGGGGGGCCGTGTTTGTGTCGTGCACGGCGCGTAGCGCCACGCTCGTTGTGGCGTGGCTCCCCTCCTCCACGGTCACCACGTCAATCTCTCCATCTTCCTCATCCGCGTCGTCGTCATCGTCTGCAGAAGGGAAACACGTATACGTCAGCAACGCAATGTAGAAAATGCAACATTATAAACCTAAACTGCGCAGGTGTAGTGCCAGAAGAGGGGAGGAGCTGCTGGGGGCTCTGGGACCCGAGACAGAGAAGCTCCTCGGCGCCAGGCGCTAGAATCCCAGGCACCCCAGACAGCTAAGCCCTTGGCACCACCAACGGGGGGGGGCTGTGTGTGCTCTGTGGGATATCTGGGGGCGCACACAACCCCACCCTCGTTGGGGACGAGGCAAAAAGGGCAGCTACCTGGCCGACGGGATGGCGGCGCACACAGTTGCAGCAGCTCAGTGTCTACCCGGTCGGTGCCTTGTATGGTTGTTTATGTTCGCGTTATGTCTTGTTTTGTGTTCATTTTGTCGGGCGAGTAACATCTTTAGCCGGCACGATCTCCTTAAGATCGGACTATGTTACGATCGGAGTGTTACAAGCGAGTTTCACCGTCTTCACAAGATTCCAGTGGAGTTAGCGAGGAGGCCCGGCTCTCCGTGGATTATCATCCCGGCGGGGAGGAGGGCGAAGGCGGCGCAGAGAGAGAAGACGGAGGCGAGGCTGCAGGGCCGTGCGCTAGCCAGGCTACGGAGGCAGCCACTCAAACCACTGCTACCCAGCCTATTTCTCACGAACGCCAGATCCATCGCGAACAAAAATGGATGATTGAGGCTACAGACTACAGCGAGCAACGTAGTGAAGGACAGCTGCATTCTGCTTTTCACAGAAACTTGGCTTCATTCATCCATCCCGGACTCTGCTATTGAGCTTGCAGGCTACACAGCACAGCGCCAGGACAGAACAGTAGACCTCTGGTAAGAGCAGAGGAGGGGGGCTCTGTGTGTACGTGAATAAGAGCTGGTGTACTAACACTGTGACTGTAGACAGCCACTGCCCCAGATCTGGAGTATGTGACTGTTAAATGCAGGCCGATTTACCTCCCAAGAGAGTTTACTGTGGTCATGATAACTGCTGTTTACATCCCACGGATGATAATGCTAACTCAGCTATTGGACTTTTTACATGGCAGCATTAGCATCAGCAGAGCAAGTATCCTGACGCTGTGCTGATTATAGCAGGGGATTTCAACCATGCAGACTTAAAAAGCAGCACTCCCTAAATTCCACCAGCATGTTAAGTGTCTACTAGGGGAACTAAGATTCTGGACAAGGTCTACACCAACATCAAACTAGGCTACAGGGCTAGACCACTACCGCACGTGGGCCAGTCTGACCATTTGTCCCTGCTTTTGATCCCTGCATACGCCCCCATCAAGAAAACGGCTCCTACCACACAAAAACTGTCGCCATCTGGCCTGAGGGTGCCACCCAGCAGCTGCAGGACTGCTTTGATAGGACGACTGGGGTCTTCGAACATCAGGACCTGGAGGTGTTCACATATAGTGTATTGTGCTACATTAAAAACTGCATAGACACTGTCCACTGTGGACAAACGCGTTCGGGTTTTACCCAACCAGAAGCCCTGGATGACCCGGGAGGTCCAGCAAACTGCTGAAGGAGAGGAATATCGCCTTCAACTCCGGAGACAAGCCCCTCACATACAGCCCGAGCTAACCTGAAGAGAGGCATCTGCAAGGCCAAAGCAGACTACAGGAGGAGAATTGAGGAACGCCTGGACAGTCACGACAGCAGGCAGGTGTGGCAGGGAGTCCAGCACCTCACCAACTACAGGGCCAACCGCGGAGCTGCTGATGGTGACAACGCTCTGGCAGAGGAGTTGAACCTCTTCTTCGCCCGCTTTGAGGTGACACCACAAGGGACAGCATCACCAAACCTCACGGTCCACAGCAGCTTAAACCTCACAGTGGAGGAGCATGAGGTGAGGCGCACGCTGCGGGCCGTCGACCCGAGGAAGGCTGCGGGACCTGATGGCGTCCCGGGACGTGTGCTGAGGACTGTGCTGACGAGCTGGCTGGAGTCTTCACAAGGATTTTCAAACCTGTCTCTGGAAACAGTCCACCGTACCAACCTGCCTAAAGTCCTCTACCATAGTCCCGCTGCCCAAAAAAACCCACATTTGCAGCTACAACGACTACCGGCCAGTAGCACTCACGCCAGTGGTGATGAAGTGCTTTGAAAAACTGGTCCGGAGTCACATCATAGGAAGCTTGCCCCGAAACCTTGACCCCACCAGTTTGCCTACAGAGCGAACCGATCCACGGAGGACGCCGTGGCCACAGCACTACATGCTGCACTGTCACACCTGGAGCAGCAGGGAGCTATGTGCGGATGCTCTTCGTGGATTACAGTTCCGCGTTCAACACCATCCTCCCACACAAACTGGTGGAAAAAACTGGGCGACCTGGGGATTCCACATTCCACCTGCATGTGGATATATAGTTTCCTCTCGGGCCGCAGACAGAGGGTCAGAGTGGGCCGTCATACATCCACAGCCCTGAGCCTCAGTACGGCTCCCCCCAGGGCTGTGTACTGAGCCCCTGCTCTACTCCCTCTACACACATGACTGTGCCGCCGTCCACCATAGCAACACCATTGTGAAGTTTGCTGATGACACCACAGTTGTGGGGCTCATCTCTGGGGGGATGAGTCTGCCTACAGGGACGAGGTGGAGCGGCTGACAGCATACTGCAGGGGCAACAACCTGCTCCTTAACACCGCAAAGACAAGGAGCTCATAATAGACTACAGGAGAAAGAAACGGAACTCCACCACTAATCATCAGCGGGGACTGTGTGGAGAGGGTGGCAGACTTCTGCTTCCTGGGAGTCCACATTGGGGAGGGCCTGACCTGGAGCGCCAACAGCACTGAGCTTCTGAAAAAGGCCCAGCAGAGACTTTACTTCCTGAGAATTCTCAGGAATAATAACATCACACAGAAACTGCTGGTGTCCTTCTACCGAGCCTCCATCGAGAGCATTCTTACATACTGCATCTGTGTATGGTACACCAGCTGCACAGTGGCTCAGAGGAAAGCGCTCCAGAGGGTCATCAACACAGCCCAAAAGATCGCCGGCTGCCATCTCCCCACACTGGAAGAACTACACAGTTCACGTTGCATCAAAAAAAGCACAGAAATTATAAAGGACTCTTCTCACCTGGACACTCACTGTTTGAGCTGTTGCCATCAGGCAAGACGATTCAGATCAGTCAAAACAAGGACAAACAGATTCAAACAGAGCTTTTATCCTACAGCGATCACCACACTCAATAATGCTAATTAATTATTAAGTAATAGGTTTACAATTGACTGTGAAATAGAGATGTGCAATGACAAAATGTAACCTTATGTGGGTATGTGGGTATACTTGGGCTGTTTTTATATATAGTATAAATTGATTATCTTTCATTTAATTTTATTTTATTTTCTTTTTTATTTAATTTAAATTTATGAATGAGGCCCTGACTGGTGAGCATTTTAAATTTCGTTGTACTGGTGACAATGACAATAAACGATCTATCTATCTATCAATCGATCGGGGCCAGTCGCAGCTCAAGATCCAAGACCCGCCAGCCAGCCAGCTTAGGACCCTGGACCCCCTCGTCCCGCTTGTCCTTGTAAGGGCCGGGATGCTGCGAGGGCCAGCGGTGGGACTCTGGGACTCCCGGCTCTACGTCCTTGTGAGGGCGAGTTCCGAGTCCAGACCCCCCCCACCTTGGCTGGGTCGGGTCAGGTAGCCTCCCTAGGGTAATTGTAGCCAGAGGACCCCAGAGCGTAGCCAGAGTAGTGTATCTAGGCTGTGTACCTAGGCTGTGTACCTAGGCTGTAACACAGTATCAGCACTGTTGAGGTGTTATATTGTAATAATAAAGAAGTTACTTCTACAAGTGTCTCCGGAACCCATTACACAGGTACAGGACCTGTTGAAATGTACACACGCAACATTCGTGTAGTGAGCTTGACAACTGTAAGTTTGTTGTAAACGAAGATGAACAAGCTAATTCGAGAAGTTCTCGTGACTGCAAGGATCCATACTTTTTTGAAGGATGTCATTGACCAACTTTAGCAGCCTCACAGTTCACTGCAGGGTTAGGGGTTAGGGTTAGGGTCAGGGTTAGGGGCTCTGGGTTAGGGGTTAGGGTTAGGGCAGGGGTTAGGGGTTAGGGGTTAGGGGTCAGGGTTCGGGGTTAGGCTCCTCCCCCCCCCTTAACCTCTATGTAATCTCGTGTCTCTCAGAGCTCGCTTCACTTGATACGTGATTTTGCTGTAACTGTTCCACCTGAAGATGGAAGCTCAAGTTGCCTCCGAAACGTCGTGATTCATTTCATGTTTGACCTGCGTGACTTGACCGAAAAAAACAAAAAGTGTGACCGCGCTAAACACGACCGAATAAAGAAACACGCAAAACAGCGTGCAAGTCTCACCCGAATCGCTGGACGTCTCGTTGCCGGGAGACATCGCCCCGTCCACGACAAATCTCCCCATCTCCCGCCCCTCGGGCCGGCAGGTGCCGCCCTCCCGGCTCAAAGGGCAGCATCTCGGCGGGCACCGCGGCGGCCGTGGGGCTCGGCACGGCGCGGGAGACCGCGGGCGGCGGCGGCGGCGCCGACTTGTCGGCGGGCGCCAGCCGCTCCAGCGTGGCTCTGGCCAAGGAGGCGGCGCTGCTCCACATGCAGTCCCGCAGCAGCACGGCTCCCACGGCTCCCACGGCTCCACGGCTCCCACGCCGCCGCCGCAGTCGCCGCAGTCGCCGGCGCCGGCAAACTGCAGCGGCGGGGTCCCAGACGTGGCCGCGGCTCGCCACTTCGCCGCCATCGCGGCTCGGATCGCCCGAGGGCGGCGGCGTTGGCGTTGAGTTCGCTCCGTCCGGCGCGGGGGGCAGGAGCTCAAACTTCTTCCAAATGTCCTCGCTGGGCAGCGTGGACTGGTGCCAGTCGCAGTGCAGCTCCTCGCCGTCGTAGAAGGTCGAGGAGGAGGAGGAGGAGTCATCCCTGCCGGCAGACATTGCGTGGATGATGACGACGCTGCTGCTACACGTGGTGATGATGATGACGCTACACGTGGTGATGACGCTGCTGCTACTTTCGTCACGCAACAACACGCCGCGTGGTGGCGGGTAGGGTTGTTGTTGTTGTTGTTTACATTCCACCACCCTCCTCCCTGTTGTTGCGTCTTGTTTAATTCTTCTGCAGGGGCCGCCGGGCTCGCCTGTAACCACAGCAAACAATAAAGAAAGCAGCGTCGTTAGCAAAGCGAGCAAACACCACGCAGTCGTAAGTGGCGCTGTTACTCATCCACAGCTCAATTTCATTCATCTCCGGGACGTTAAATTTCGATTTAAGCTTTCGTGACTGCAGGGATTCATCTTCTTGTTCTTTCGGTAAAGTCGCGTAGAAGGGAAACAATAAAATAATAAAAAATATAAAACAATAACAATTCTCACGACGTTTCGTGTTGCAGTCGACACGTCGTGAGAATTTTTATTGTGTAGTGAATACTTGGGACGCAAGAGGGAGCGCACACACAGGGTGACATACACACCAGGGTGACACACAAAAGATCCCCCATATAGCCTTAACAGACTGTAGGGGCAAGTGCTGTTAGCAAGCACCTATGAAGGCCGGAACGGCACACGAGGGGTGGGTGGCCAGCACCCACGCCCGCCGCCTTTGTCTCCCTAGTGGCAATGTTTACACACGCACCAGGTACTCATTTGAGGCTGAGTCGACCTAGGGAAGGCCGGGGACCGGTTCAGACAATCGTCTGATGTTGGCCGTGAGCAGGAATCGAACCCGGGTCGCCAGGTTCATAGCGCAGCGCGCTAACCGCTAACACCGCTCCCCATACAGCGTGACACACACACAGGTGACACATACAGGGTGACACACACACACAGGGTGACACACACACACAGCGTGACACACACAGGGTGACACACACACGCACATGGTGACACACACACACAGGGTGACACACACATGCACACAGGGTGACACACACCACACAGCGTGACACACACAGCGTGACACACACACAGGGTGACACACACACACAGCATGACACACACAGGGTGACACACACACAGGGTGACACACACACAGGGTGACACACACACAGGGTGACACACGCAGGGTGACACACACGCACACAGGGTAACAACCACACACAGGGTGACACACACACAGGGTGACATACACACACGCACAGGGTGACACACACACAGGTGACATACACACACACAGGGTGACACACAGGGTGACATACACACACACAGCGTGACACACCACACAGGGTCACACACACACACAGCGTGACACACACACAGGGTGACACACACACACAGGGTGACACACACACACAGGGTGACACACACACACACACACAGGTGACACGCACACACACACAGGGTGAGACACACACACAGGGTGACACACACGCACACAGGGTGACACACACACGCACACAGGGTGACACACACAGGGTGACACACGCACACAGGGTGACACACACGCAGGGTGACACACACACGCAGGGTGACACACACACAGGGTGACACACACACAGCGTGACACACACACACAGCGTGACACACACGCACATAGGGTGACACACACACGCAGGGTGACACACACACACACAGGGTGACACACACACACACACAGGGTGACACACACACAGGGTGACACACACACACAGGGTGACACACACACACACACACAGGGTGACACACACACACACACACAGGGTGACACACACACACACAGGGTGACACACACGCACACAGGGTGACACACACAGGGTGACACACACACACACAGGGTGACACACACACACACAGGGTGACACACACACACACAGGGTGACACACACAGGGTGACACACCACACAGGGTGACACACACACACAGGGTGACACACACACACACAGGGTGACACGCACACACACACAGGGTGACACACACACACACACACAGGGTGACACACACACACACACACAGGGTGACACACACACACACAGGGTGACACACACACACACAGGGTGACACACACACACACACAGGGTGACACACACACACAGCGTGACACATACAGGGTGACACACACACGCACAGGGTGACACACACACACACAGGGTGACACACACACAGCGTGACACACACACACAGCGTGACACATACAGGGTGACACACACACACGCACAGGGTGACACACACACAGCGTGACACACACACACAGCGTGACACACAGCGTGACACACACCAACACAGCGTGACACATACAGGGTGACACACACACAGCGTGACACACATACAGAGTGACACACACACACAGCGTGACACACACACACAGCGTGACACACACACACAGGGTGACACATACAGGGTGACACACACACACACAGGGTGACACACACACACAGCGTGACACATACAGGGTGACACACACACAGGGTGACACACACACACACAGGGTGACACACACACAGCGTGACACATACAGGGTGACACACACACAGCGTGACACACACACACACAGCGTGACACACCACCAGCGTGACACACACACACGAGGTGACACACACAGGGTGACACACACACACA